GGGAGTGTGAAGCAAGCAAGGGGGAGGAACTCCTAGCTATTAAAAGCATTTGTACAGGATAAGAGAGGGACTTGCATAAGACAACCCGAGCTTTTTCAGTGGCGCCGGCTACTATTACAAAAGAACGGTAAATTCCAGAATACGTCGTGCTCGGTTTCCCACTTACCCTAGTAGCCTCGTTGTAACTGACAATGACGGCGGTGTACCATTGGGTGGTTCCCTCTGCCCTGTACACCTCCACCCGGTAACCCACCAGAACACTGGGTGTGGTCACAAGAATTCTCTGCCCGTCCTGCAACTCAAACCAGCGTTGAACTTCGGCCCTCAGCTCAGGACAGTCTCTCAGCCCGGGCAATTCGGGGTCCCATTCCTGGAATCAATAAGTGGTCACAATGTCGGCCTTAGCTGATTCTGTGACAACAAAGACAAACAAAAATGCTGGTCTTATTAACCCTTTGAAGCCGAAGATCGTCTGAATATTATTTATGAATTCAGTCCGTACCGCGAAGAAAACACTACACCTCACCATTACGAAAATCAGCTGGTTAACCCTTTGAAGCCGAAGCTCGTCTTCATAATATTTACGAATTCAGACCGTCCCGCGAAGAAAACACTTCACTTAACCATTAGAAGTCGAATCAGGCGGTACCACATAAGATTTAACAAAAGAACATCCCGGTCAAAGCCTTAATCCCAGTGCTTCGCCTTTCATCACCGGATGCAAGGACCTCCGAGAGTGTGAGGCCACGCCATCGCTGTTAAAGTTTCTGGGGGTGAAGCCTGATCCTGATGGCCTTCCTTTTCATGCGATCCATTTATCATGCTGCCATGTCCAGGATAGAGATGCAATATCGATCTGAGTTGCATCTCCATCCTGGACTTGCGCCGACCAAGGCCTGGCTGAAATCACCCGCAGGCAAACGAGGTGGTACGATGTTCATCAGAACAACCAAGGCTGTCCATAAAAAGACGACCACGTCTACCCACTCCGCTAACTTGGGTCTTTCGTGATTTTCCTCAGTTTTAAAGCAAATTCAAGGGTTTAAGTTAAAAGTCACGTTCCCAAATCATGAAGGCCTCCAGCCAAAATCGATGCCAACATTTCTGGGTTTAAATCCACCTCACAAGGGACAATTTCCCACCTGATGATGGGGACAGGTGTGGATGGTCCTTGAAACATCGGCGAGTTCTTATCATTTCAGACAGCTGATGGCCCGAGAAAATGTTTTTTTTTATACGAAAGCTGAGTTCGTTTACTGGTAAACAACAATACAAGAGCTTCTGTCACAAATTGTGCGCTGTTAAAGGCTAGTTAATGATGTTGGTGGCGGAGGACATCGCCTGGCGTAAGCAACTCTGTTTACATTCCGAACACGAGTCTTGTAGTGCGACGTAACCACCAAACAACCTAACAGAAGCCGAGCTCAAAAGCCAAAGTCCATACAACAGCGAACAAAGCGAAGCAATGGGACCGGGGGGAGGGGGGGAGGGGAGGGGAGGGGAGGGTACATGTAACAATAGTTGCATAAGCGAGCTGGTAGTTCTCCCCGGTCATCAAGGTTATTAACAAAACGGATTCTACTTACGAAAAACAGACGCACATCTGTCACACAAAAAAGCCACCCCGTTCCCACTTCAAAAAGGTCAACCGATCGATTCCCGGTTTATTTAAGGATGTTTACAAATTCAGAGGTTCCTCCGTGAGGGGGTAAAATACTTCACGTAGGGACGATACGACGTTTAAGTCATAACACCTTTACATTTAATTTTCTGTTTATCCAACTACGAAGTCTTATTTCATTTTTGCAGTGATCATCACACAGACATCTTTTAGTACTTCTGAACCCCAACTTATACAAAGGCAAACACAAACTTTAAGAGCCATTTTTTTTTAAAAAAAAAAAGACTGCTTGGTAATTTTAGGACAAAGGTAGCTTAAATTAACGGAATCGCGACTGCCGTACATAAATACGCAGTCTTTTGTTTCTTTCTACACGTCCTTCCTGCGATGACACATCAGGTAGCGCCCTAATGTCCATTTGCATAGGAAATGCTCTCACAGGGCACAGATAAAGCCAGGATGGATGCGTACAAACGCAGGTGATACGCGCGCAACGCGAAGTAATGAATAATGCACACAAAGGAAGGCGTGGCTTGCTAGTGTTTATATTGGACAGGCCTAGAAACAAGTTTCAGACAATTATCTCATTCGGGCAACACCCATGTCATTGTCTTCAGCGCATTCACACGTACAGGCTGTTCCAAAAAATTAGTTCACCATCAAACCTAAGACGTCTCTGCAGACAGATTCGGTTCAACGGTGATGAGCTGATAACTTATGAAACAGACAGTCAGGCGTTTAATTATTAATGAGAAGAATCCTTCAAAAGTCCAAATGTTTCTACATTTACCACCTGCTTTAAAAATCAATAAATGAGTATTTCCAGACAGTCCATTTTTCGGTTTCTATTCTTAGAACAAGCAACGATTATTTCCTTAAACAGCGTTAACCAATTGATCTTTGTGATGTGGACGTGTTGTGTTTCCTTTGCGGTACGGACTGTATTCTTAACTATTATTCAGACTGGCTTAGGTTTCAACGCTGAAAAAAGAAATTATTCGCGATGTTTATCTTTGGTATTTGAGGAAGGTGTTAACATCTGCAGCTTCAATATTCTCTCACAGACCGGGAGATGATTTTGAAACACAGTGTAGTTCTATGGCGAAACCATAGCAACACGCACGTATTCAATTTGATCTGAGGCAAGTGACACCAGTTTGAAAGCGTCTAATGGCAAGTGATGATGAAGTGAACAGCAAACCGCAGGTTCTCTACAATTACACGTCGCTAGGGAAACAGCACACTTGAGGTAAAGCTCGTATATTCAGACTGTTTGCAAACAGTTGTAATACTTCCTCGACCGCTCACTTTGCGGTTTCCAATCTCTCCCGGGAAATTAATGTTCGGCCATGTTTTTCCATCTTCAATAAAGGCGAAGTTCGGTCCGCGTCGTAACGCCGCGAAGTACAAGGAGAATCTTAATAACATTTACGAATTCAGTCCGGACCGCGAAGAAAACACGACACTTAACCATTGCAAGGATCAACTGGTTGACGCTGTTTAAGGAAATAATCGCTGTTTACACTGAGAATCATACGAAATGCACAAATAAAAGTTGCAGAGTTACCGGTAGCGACGCCTGCGAAATCCCTGGATACTAATCTGCCACGAAAGCAGAATTTTTTATGCGAACGCCTAGAATTTTCTGCATAATTTAAGGCCTGCATAGATGCACATCCTGGATCCTAGTCTTTTGGACATGGCGCCTATATTTATAATAAATTTCCGCAGGACTGAGCAAAGAAATTTTTTCAATCGTGTTAAATTTAAATTTAAATGAAAAAGTATACTCCAAAAACCTCAATACCAAAAAGCGAGCAGAAGAAATGCAAACATGGGAAAAAAAATGCGTTCATTTTACTTTGCTCGTTCAAAGAATCTGCACAGAACACAAAGGCCAGTGCAAAAATTGTGCACTCCTGTTGACCTGGGGGGCGAGAACTCGAAACCCTGAAATCTGAGTTAAACAACGCGATGCTCAGGTCGAAGAAATATAAGAGAAAGATGCAATTACGAAGAAAGTTATACTTGTGGCGACTTTCAGGCATCCCGCACTACTTTGCAGGGGCTAAACACGAGCAAAGAGAATTATCATGTGTCCCCTCGCCGCACACCCAAGCGCCTCTGATCATCTCCTGAGTTCCTTAACAAAGTTCTACTTCGTGGAGAGTTGAACAAGTCCGGAGAGAAGTTACATTAAAGCCTGTGTCATTTGGGGGGAGAGAGGAAAGTCAAGCCTTGGGCCGAAGCTAGTTTTGCGACCTAATCCACGAGATTCCACGAATCATTTTGTCTCTGTAGACTTAAGTCTGGAGAGAAACGTTCCTTAATTCTTTTTAATTAAAATAAAAAAAATAATTCAGAATTAAGATTCTCACTGCAGTGAAACTTTCCATGTCGAGCTGTTCAGTTTCAACGTCGTGTGAACGTTTTAGACAAATATACCTTCACTGTTAGTCCTGACGATGGAGGCAGTATGTTCCCTAGAAACGTTGGTATCTACCTAGAAGTCCACACGGCGTCACGGCCCATAAGGCCAACACAGACAATGTGGCCACTACAGTCTGTCTGTACCCTGCCCACGTGACTGTACATTGAATGTAAGAATGTCACAAACCGGGTGGCTGTGTAGACCTTGCTTCGAGCCCAGGCTCACATTCTGCGGCGACGTTGAATCGAATACAGCAGATTTTATAATTTATCTCCTAACGTATTAACTTCCTGTTAGTAGGATGTCAAAATTGTTAACTTGGCCATCTGACAGAACCGTCATCAGGGATGTTCTTCACTAAGTTAAAATTCGATGTAAGGCCTACTGGCTTGTGCTTGTGATACGTTACAAATGTGAAGAGTGCTCACCTGGAAGGGCTGCAGGCGGGAATAATCGCGGAACGTGAGTTCCCGGTCCAGTAGGAACTCCAGCGGTTGCTGGTTTGAAGCCACGTCCACGGCAGCCACCAGAGGCGTGAAAGACTGCAATGAAGAAGCACGTGTCAGACCTTTTCTGCTAGGAAAGCAAGGACCTACTTGCTAACCTGGCAAAACACTTCCAGAATTCCCGAAGGCGTTTCCTTTTTACTATTTCAAAGAAATTTATACGTGAATCAGACAGACGTTCAACATACACAAAGAGAGAGGAAAACGGGACCTCATCTTTCATCTTCAAAGCTAAGAGACAAAAGACACAAGATACAATTTTTGAATTTCGTTTGTAACGCAACCATTAGGTGTGCCTGAATAAAAAAGCTTCGAAGATCTTGCAACGGAGGTGGTTTTAAAGACGCAGTAGATGTCAATAAGATTTGATTTATGTCTCTGTCTAACAAAATACGAATTTTTTTTATAAAGTTTATCGGCTTCCAAAGCTGAGAAGCTGAGAAGTTGGGAACACTTTGAAACCTGTCCGTTCTTTGATAACACCTGCAGAATAAATGGGAACAAAGCAGTGGGTCCGGAGCTCCCATGTGAAAGAAAGACAGTTTGCGTTCAAAACCAACGGATTTCACGCTCCGGCTGCCCCATTAGTTTACAGTAGTCCCACGCGCAAGAGACGACGCCGACTAACACACGAATATACGTTCAATATTTGAACACACTGGACAGAAGACATTTTCTCGCGGAAAAGTACCGTCATTAAAAAGGAAGAAGTAGACAACATTTTCAAACAAACATGTACTGAGCGTCATTTCCACAACGAGATAACTCTGTCAACAAACGGAATGCATTTCACAAAATAAATATATTTACGCAAACACATTTCGCCATTATCGGTATTCGGTGTGAAGACGAACGTGGGACTGAATGCGTCCGTACTTACCAGAGCGGGCCACAGAATGTCAGAGCCGCCTGAAGGGGACAGGGGGTCAACTCGATCTGTCCACACCAAACTGTGCTCCACCAGAAACAGGTGGAAGATGCTGTCCTTGTAGACGCTTATCCATTCTCGCCTGTACCATTCCACACCGTCATATTCAACCAGCACCTGCAGGCAAGCGGGCCTCATGAATGCGCGGAATGCCTCCGGGCATTCTCAGTACTTTAACTAAAGCAGGGTAACTTAAGTAACATAATTTTGCATTACTTAAACACCACGTCGCTTTGCATTAATGCAGATAGGATATTGTGACGCAAAGATAAACAAGGCGGACAATGAAGTAAAGGAATTCGATTTATTACAGACATTTAAATCGGCGAGAGTACAAGAAGGATTATGTTTTAGCCGGTACAAAACTTGCAACACTAATGACTGAACACCAAGGCCGACGGGGTATAGAACAGGCCTACCGATTTCGCGGGTGTACCGTACGAAACACGTGGTCTTTATTCTCGGTTTGAGGACCAGATAATACGTTTCTGAGAACGAAAAAAGAATAAGAAAGTTTTGGTAACATTAGATCCGAGATATAAAGTTGCGTGACAGGACGACTGATTAGTCCATGCCCTGGCCAAGGTTACCATGGCAACTAAACTGAATCGGTACAGGAGTGGTTCAACGGCATTCTTCAAGGCAAGAGCACGAGAAGGCAGATACAATTACGGGGCATTACAGCAGAACCACATAACTGAAGGAATGCCATTTTCCACACAACAAATATCCGGGAACTACGCGGTCGATCTACCGGCTTTCTGAAGACAAGAGAAAACGGATATCTCATCACGCGAATGCTGACGTAATTAATCAAACAAAATTCACTATTTTAAAAAACAAATAATTGGGGGGGGGGTCTGCATTTATACCATATTCTCAGGAGCACTGACATTTCGTATACAACGAAATCTTTCATCTGCCTCGTTCACTAACTGGTAAGAAAACTTCAGAGAGCTCTATTCGAACTATGCCTTGAAGAAGGAGGAAGTATGTTTCTCCGAAACACTTGAATTTACATACAAGTCCGCATGACGTTACAACTCACAACACCAATATCGAAATTTTTACAGCAGTGAGAACCTCAAATTTTCAAAACATCTGAAGTTGTCATACAAATCTCAGATAAATCTACCAAACTGATCGTAAGGGTTCATCCTACAAGGCCATTATAATGCGTAACGATGAAGTGAAATGCGTACGGTAGGCTACGTACTTCAGAAAAAGTGTGAGAGAGGATAGTTTATATAGCTGACCATCGTAATATTAGTACCACTCAGCAGCTTTGTTAACGACAGGTTCGTCCCCGCCACAACAAAATCCAGTAACTAAACTTTATTCAAAAACGTTTTCACATTACCAAGTACCACTTCATGAATGAATTTTGCCCACATCACAAATTTGGTTAGTAAAACAACGGAATCGCGGGTTCAAATCCTGCCCGAGGCAATTATCGGTGTCTTCCTGGGTTCTCCAATGCAGACAAAGACATAATAATGATAGTTGTTTAATTTAACCCTCTGAAGTCCGAAACACATCTAAATATTATTTAAGGATTCAGACCGTACCACAAAGAAAACACTTCACTTCACTTCACCATTACGAAAATCAACTGGTTGACGCTGTTTAAGGAAATGATCGCTGTCTAGAATGAAAACATTCGAGACACACATAAAACAAACTGTAGGGATGCCGATTGTTAAAGCAGGTGGTAAATAGAGTTACCATTAGGTTCTAATTGCCTAGAACCGTTGCTCTGCTGAGCGAAACATCAGAAAAGGATGCTCACAGACTGAGATATTCACTGTTTTTGTTGGCTTCAAATGAAATACCCCTAAGAGTTCGGGTGCTTGAAGAACGTGGTTCGTCTCTATTCGGACCACGAAGCTATTAATTACAACGTGTTTAGCTATTCATTAGACTAGCTGAGCCCGCGGGGAATTCGTACAGAAGAGACGGAACACGGCGGGAGGGCGTGCGGGCGAACAGGGGTTGTTGGGGCGATGACCTACCCGGGCGGCACCCGAGTTTCTCAATCTGCTCTGTGAAATCAATGATAAAGTGTGACACACGTGTGCAGAGGTTGGCACTCCTGCTTGTACTGGGGTGGTCCGAGGTTCGATTTTCTGTTCCATTATCCCGAGGTATTTCATTTGATTACATTACAGGATAGTACAGTACTTTAAAATAGGCCATGGCAGCTTTATTTTTATATTTTGGATTGTTTTATTTTATACTTTCGTATGATTCTCACAAGCAACAAACATTACTTCTTTCAGCAGCGTTAACCAGCTGATCTTCGCAATGGTGAAGAATTGTGTTTTCTTTTCGGTACGGACTGAATTCTTAAAAGTCATTTAAAACACCTTCTGCTTCAGAGATTACAGCAATTTGTACCAAGCAAAGCGAATTGTATTATTTGTATCTAGACCGTCAAAGATGATGAGTCACTGGGTATCTGTCGTACATCCATACACCAGGGGTGCCCAACCTCTTTTGATTGGCAGGTCAGTAGAGAAGTGATGATGAATAAAATGATGATCTACGATCAAAAACTCACAGAAACATCCAAACTCTGAGAGAAATTCGAACCCACGACCTCTGCGCGTGTTCAGTGCAAGACTGTGAACCTTTGAAATAGGATTAGTAGAATTATTTAATTCAAAATTATGCTCCGTGCATCTTTATAGAAGGATCAACATGTGGACCAAGCGCCTAGATGATGATGATGCAGTTAACCTGCTTACAAAATCAATCACTCGTCACTTCACCTCAATTTGAGCCGGAGCCCTTTCTACTCTGTCCTCACTGTCGGACAAAGGGGACATAAACATAGACGAGAAGATAATATTAAAATGGATCTTTGGGAAATAGGATTGAAAAGTGTGGATTGGGTTCATATGGCTCTGTAGGGACCGGTGGCGGGCTCTTGTGAACATGGTATTAAACTTTCACGCTACATACAAAGCGGGATATTTCTAGTAAATTAATTTAGGTATTATGTCTCCGATGCGAGCTATATATGCCCCAGCCTATTTATAGCCGCTCGAATTACGTCACTTTGAGGAACAAAGATTCACGTAAGGAAACAAAAGACAAGGATATTACAAAAGTACCATTGAGATTGTGACACATTTAACGAAACAGGCAAGTCTTATAAAGGAATTAACTTAAATGAATACCTTAGGTGCCTTCGTGGCATCCACAATGAATAGGTCACCAGACAAAGACAATTGTTAAATAAACAAGCATCAGGACTGACAATGCACTGGACTGTTATGACACGGAGAGACGAAGCCCGCTTCATCGCTTCAAGCAAACGCCAGAGAACATTCATTTCAGGTGCCACGCGCCCGGCGGATAAAAACTTCCAAACAGCAGTTCGTATTCTACTAATGCACGCAACCTCTCAGATCAACGCGAGGAAGAAAACGTTGCTGACCTCAAAGGGGCAGACAGACAGGTGCACAAATGTGTCTGCAGTTATGTGCACTTCCCCGGGGTCTAAATACCACAGGCTGGGTGGGTGGGGGTCATCGCGGATTCTATCCCGAAGAACACGCTGGAAGGGCCCTAGCGCCATCGTGGCCAGGAATACGGTCGTCTAGCCCATGATCAGCTGTAACTTTAACAATCGATTACTTTTAAGTTGTAAAAAGGATTTGGGGATCTCATGAAGGCAGGTACGAAGATGGTTGGCTTCCGGGCTCTGTCTTGCACCAGACAACGCGGCGAAACAACCCAGAAGACAGCCATCTTCAAGTTGTTAAATGGCTAATGACATCATTAATTACATTCATCTGTTTGAGCGACTAAAATTCATTAACCATATGCAACTTGCGGTCTTTAAAGAACAGAATTCGATTTCATACTAAATAAAAAAAGCAGCAAGTTACCTTCGGCATGTTTATAAGAAAAGGAACATCGCTCGTTGTGTGTCTGAAGTAGAGGAAAGTAATTTATGTCTTTTGAAAACTCCTTCATACGTAAAACCGGTATTTCTTCCCGTCTCCATGGTTACCATTTCAAGGAGACGTACAAAGAAAGAGCAGTTGGTGGCGACGGTGGAAAGGGAGGAGGGGGGGGGAGATATGCATTACGTACGGAAAGAATGCTCTCAGTGAAGTAGGAAAAAAGAATGAAACTTCGTGGTGGGTCAAGGACGAACATGAAAAACAGTTTTCATTAGCAAAACAGAGCATAGAAATTACTGGTAACGTGAATTACCACAAACAATTAGACGCAAGCTTCTGAACACATGTTTGACGGCATCCTACGTGCTTCAGAGTAGAATGGCTTCACTCATTCAAACGAAATGTAACATAAAAAGATTAACGCTTACTTTCCGTTAAGTACAGAAATGTTGGGATCATGGACGGGCCATGTAGCACGCACGGCAGATTAAATACGAGCACACACAAGAACTTTCGGTCGAAAAACCCCGAATGAATGACAACAAACAAGCGAGGATAATATTAAGACTGATTTGAAAGAACATCTGGTTCAGATTACGGTAAAGAGGAGGGATCTTCCTCAAAGGCATTGAAACTTAGTGTTCCATAAAAGCCGGAGTATTTATTCACCAACTCAGCTAGTGTTAGCATCTGACGAAGTGTCGTTAAACAAATACATTGAGGTGATCCCTAATGACGGAAAGAGGACACTTCGATTCATTCGGAATTCTTGATGATGGAGGCAGCAAGCACCTCTGAAACGTCGATAACCTTCTACGAGACTACTAACTCCTTGTAGCAGAGCCCGCAGGTCCACCGGCCACGATCCTGAGGCAACTCCATCCATTTACAATCCTCACAGCCTACCTCCCTAAGATGCATCTTAATATTATCGTCCCATCTCCTTCTTGGCCTGCCCGGCGGTCGTTTTACATAAGGATTTCCTACCAAAATTCTGCATGCATCCCTTGCGTGCTACATGCCCAGCCCAGTAGGTACAGCAGTTGGCAAACAGATTTTGATTTAATGAAGTTCCTTCCCTGAAAATAATGTGTTCAAAGATCAGTCAAACGAGTTCATACATCTGCCGCAAGATAGCACTACCATTCGGACAAGTTATCCATTAGTTACGGCAGGAACAACTAAAAAAAACCTAGTTGATGA